GTAACTGACCAGGAGGACATTAAATTGCGTCTCCTCGCGCCGCGCATCCGAGGAGAGAGACTGCGCTTGCTTGCTCTCGGAGGACCGCGTGCCACTGCCATGCAGGAAAAACTGGCGCAAAAATCACGCGCCAGCCGCCAATCCGCGCCAAAGAAAAAAACAGGAGCGCCAACAAGCAGTGAAATGAAAAAAACGGGCGCCAACTAATCTCACAGCGTGAAACGCACAGCGTTATTTCTTTGAGTACGTAGGGAGTATGTGCTAAAAATTACTCCCTCCATCCCAAATTATAAGTCATTCCAAGAATCTTGGAGAGTCAAAGTTTTTCAAATTTGACCAAATTTATATAACAAAATAATAATATTTATCATACCAAGTAAGTATCATTAGATTCTTCATTAGTTATATTTTCATATTATACCTATTTGTTGTCATCAATCTTTGTGTTTCTCTCTATAATTTTAGTCAAACTTGAAAAAGTTTGACTCTCCAAGATTCTTGGAATGACTTACAATTTAGGATGGATGGAGTAATACTCCTCCGTTCAGAAAAGAATGTAATTACGAAATTTGTGCCGGTCAAATTAGTTTAAGTTTGACCAAATTTATAGTAAATAGTATTAATGTTTATATCTCTAAATAAATTTATTATGAAAACATATCCTATAACGAATTCAATGATACTTATTTTGTATCATGAATATTAGTATTTTTTATACAAACTTAGTCAAAGTTTAAACTATTTTACTTCTCGAAAAGAGAATTATATTCTTTTATGGACGGAGAGTACAATTAAATAAGCTGTCTTATAGCTAACAACTATCTTATACGGTTGAGACTGCCCTTACGCCTGTAGCCATTCAGAAAAACCTGTGTCGTCTCCCATAGATCTGACAAGTGGTTCCACTGATGCGCTCCACAACGTTTTACTCCAACTTTACTTGAAGTGCGAGTTCCATAAGTTGTTTTCTCAATAGACAATAATCTAGCGGCCATCCTTTCCGGATCTTGACAGCAAGATTTAGAGTAAGTATAATAACGAGTTGAGAGTGTGCTTTTATGCTGAGATGGACAAGAGAAGAAGTTGAGAGAGAAAAGAGAAACTAGCTATAAGTCTATCAAATGTTTCATTGTTGGTTTTTAATTTTAATTTCAAAACCAAACAAATAAACAATAGTGTTTTTTCTCTCAAAAAAACCAAAGACCAACCAATTTAAACCAAAGACCAAAGACCAACCAAATGAACATGCCCTATAGTCCATTGATGCACAAGCTTAAAGAACTCTGTGAGGGAAATAAAATGGGTTATATATCAAGTACTCCCTCCGTCCCTAAAAAATGCAATTCTGGAATAGTGTCACGTTTTAGTATATTAAGTTGGACCAATTATTAAAAAATATAAATATTTATAATAAAATAAATATCATTAGATTAATTATGAAATGTATTTTTATAATAAATTAATTTGGAGCCATAAATGTGAATATTATTTACTACAAACTTGGTCAAATATGAATCACTTTAACTGGCATGCACGCATAGTTACATTCTTTTTTGAAACAGAGGTATTATATGAATAGAACACAATTCTAGCACAGTGTCATGGTTTAGTATTCTAAATTTGATCAATTATAGATAAAAAATTATTAATATTTATAATAGCAAATAAATATCATTAGATTAATTACAAAATGTATTTTCATAATAATTTATTTTGGAGCAGTAAATATGAATAATATTCACTAGAAATTTCGTCAAATGTGAACCATTTTTACTAGTTGTATTATTTTCTCAACGGAGTAAGTATTATTTGTCTTGCTTTTATACTGCGTCCCAGCGAATCATGACCAATTCATTGCCTTTGTGGTAGTGGTGAGACCGAGGCCCCGTTTAGATCAAAATTTTTTTAGATTTTGGCCACTGTAGTACTTTCGTTTGTATTTGGCAATTAGTGTTTAATTATGGACTAATTAGGTTCAAAAGTTTCGCCTTCCCATCTGCAATTAGTTTTTTTTATTTATATTTAGTCCTTTATATATATGTGCGTTGACGTAACGGCTAAACGGGCCTACTGTGAGTGGCCTCCCATCTGTCCGCCTCCGACCGTTGTTTCAGCCGGCCACATGCAAGCACATTCTACTGGTGGCAGCTGCAGTCCTGCTGCTCAACCTACTCGGTGAAATGTGCAAACATACAAACGCAGTTACGGAGTACGTCGACACTTCGCTGGATCCTGGTTGATGGCGAGTAGGTAGCGTAGCGCCATGCCGTGCCGTCAGTTTGCTACGGGGGCCTTGTTTAGATAGCCTCAAAATTCTAATTTTTTTCACTCTCTCTTCATCACATCAATTTTTAGCCGTTTATATGGAGCATTAAATGTAGGTAAAAAAAATAACCGTTGCCGTCACGAGATGAATCTTTTGAACTTAGTTGGTCACGATTGGACACAAATAAGACTGGGCTTTTTTTCAATCTACACAAGGGCTTCAGGGTACAGTATACCGCTAGGCCGCTACACATCACGTCACGTGCTACTTGCTCTGGGCTTCAGGGTCTACCAGATCCGTCCAAGCCGCATTGCTACGTGCTATATAGGCAGCTAGGTGTACTGTGTGACCAATCCGGGCCTTGTTTAGAGGATGATTGGCATCTAGGTGTTTGTATTGTGTTATCTAATTATGCCTAACTAAGCTGTGTGTGTAATGCCAATCCGGTTGACAAAGATTTGATGCCATAAACAAGGCCTCGGTTGACAAGATGCCATGGGTTGCAATCTCCCCAGATCCTCAGTCCTGACAGCGTCGCTCTCCCAGGTCCCCTGGCTTCGATATCCTCGCGTGAAACGCTCAAACCCGTGTTTAGTTGGAGGGCGGATTCGATTAGGGCCGGATTTAGTTACTTTAGTGCACGGTAGCGTTTTCGTTTTATTTGACAATTATTGTTTAATTATAAGGCTAATTAGGTTCAAAAGATTCGTCTTGTAATTTACAAACCAAACTGCGCAATTAGTATTTCGTTAGTTATTTTTCTCTATATACCGTGAAGTATGCTTACTCTTTACATATATCCAAAAATTCAGAAAATCTAGAGAGAATGAAAAAACTTACCATCTAAACCCGTATGGGGGTGCCATTGGCATCCCGAGACGCGCTTCGAGACAGCGAGTGCGGGGCAATCAAAAGCAGCGGGATCGTGGTGCGTGCCAGTCGTCGGTCTCTCCTCTCCCCTTGACGCATTGAACTCAAAAGAAAGTAGGGGCACGAGTGCAGAGTGCTCTGGCGACGTTCAGTTTGGGGAACGCCATGCCATGGACATCCATTCAGTGCCTAATATACTGATCTGGGAAATGTAATGCGGCCTGCAGGCTGCAGGATTCCTGCTGAAGAAACAAGCATGCAGGGCCATGTTTAGTTACCCAAAATTCTAGAATTTAGCATTATCTCTCCTCATCACATCAAATTTACTTGAGTATTTACATAGAAAGACTATATATTGACGAAATCAAAAACTAATCCACAGTTTAGTTGTCTTTTACGAGACAAAACGTTTTGGCCTGCAGTCAACGATTGGATTCCTTACTGAAACAAAAACGCTAGAAGACAAGCATCCAGCATTTCAAATGGAAGATTTTCTCCCGCATGGATCTTTGCTCGGTTGCACGTTCAGGTGTCGTACATGAAAAGAGGCGACGAGATCGAATGCAGCTTTACGCGCACGACGATTGATGACCATGCAGGTACCAACAATGTTCAGGCGCGAAATCGAATTATGCTGTGCGTGCGGATGCACGGATCTCGGCGCTAGGTAACGTGAGGACAGTACTGTATTTACGTCTTGTTTAGTTCCACCCTAACTTAAAAACAGTATTGTATTTAGTGGCTCCCGGGCAACTGGATGACTCTCAAAATCTAAATTTCTCCGACTAAACAAGGGCTTAGTGGCTCCCGGGCACTGGGGTTGAGGCTTACCCCAAGTACAGTACCCGGGGTATCAAGATCTGTCACCAGGCATCGGCTGCCCGGCAAACGTGGGGCAACGCAGCAGAAAGATAATGGCATGGGATCCTAATGTTATTGCGGCCAGTAATCAGACAACTTGCCAGCACAACGTTCCAAAGCATTTAATCTAGAGAAATAAGCAGCGTCCATCATTATCCTGGACAAACAAACAATTGCAGGGGCAAAAACTAATCATTCACGAAGAGAACAGAACAAGCTAACGGTCATGAGTATCATCCATCCATCCACCCCACTGAACCGATCAGGATAACAAAATACAGACAAATGTACAGCACATGGCACAAAAAGTGGTCGTTGAGTGTTCGGCTGGTCGTTTCAACCAGCTTATTTGCTGGCTTATAAGCCATAGTACAGTATTTTTCTCTCTAAAAAAATCAGCATACAAATCAGCGTCAACGACTTTACCACCAGCCAAACACTCCCGAAACAAGATTAAAGACAAGATCCAAGGAAGCCAAGCAGGCCCCTACACGAAATCAATCGCTACAGTACAAGGGTCGTGGTACAGATCGGCCGAGATCAATGGCCCAGGAGGCGACAGCCATGTCCTGCACTAGTAGCCGTTGCCGATGCTTGGGCAGGGAAACCCCACATGCGCAGCACCACGACACGCTTTGGGCATGGCATGGCAGCGGCATCAGGCCGTGCCAAGCACCTCTGCAGCAGTGCGGCACATGGGCTCCCTGCTCCCCCGTCCCCGGAGCTGACGCCTCCCCTAACCAACGAGATTACGACGCCCAACGGCTACTTCCGCCATGGGCGGGCCACGACCTCCTTCCTTGGCGGGAAAAGGTTCCCGGCCCCACGGGTCAGTTCGACCGTCCACGGGCGCCGGGGTCCGGGGCGCACGCCGGCCGGCTTAGCTGAGACTAAAACTAATCTGAACTAATTAAGGAAATTAATCAGCGACAGGGAAAAAAATGGAACAAGCTACCCAATTGAATCTGGCAGGCGGCAACGCCAGCGAAGGGCCGCCGGGAGATCAGGCCGGCGACGGCTGGGAGGTGGGGTCGGCGGAGGACGGGATGTCCGGGCCGACGCGGCAGCCCTCCAGCATGAACACCACGTCGCCCATGGCCGGGCGGTCCAACGGATCCGACGCGGTGCAGAGCAGCCCGACCTTGATGCCCAGCAGGAACTCCTCCCACTCGGAGGACTCCGGGTCCAGCTCCAGCAGGCCCGGCTCCAGCAGCTCCGCCACCGCGCCGCGCTGCAGCTGCCGCTTCACCCACTTCACGATGTCCTCCTCCTCCCCGGCGAACATGCCGGGGCGCCGCCCCGTCAGGAGCTCCAGCAGCACGATGCCGAAGCTGTACACGTCGCCTTCCCTCGTGGCCTGCCCGGCAGCGGCCGCGTCGGGGGCGACGTAGCCGAGCGAGCCCACGGGTGTCGCAGCTGATGTTGATGCGGCGGCGGCGGCTGCAGCGGCACCCGCGGTCACCACCATCGGCTCCAGGCCGAAGTCAGACAGGTGCGGCTCGAAGTCGGCGTCGAAGAGGATGTTCTGCGGCTTGACGTCGCCGTGCACGACGCCGGACTGGTGCAGGAATGCAAGGCCGCGCGAGACGCCGAGCGCGATGAGGTGCCTCATTGGCCAGTTGAGGATGTGGCCGTCTTGGTGCGACGCTTCCTGCAGCAATGTGGCGAGGTTGCCATTGGGCATGTAGTCATAGACCAGCAGCCGGACATCCGGCGGAGGCCCGGCATAGTAGCCACGGAGCACAGTGAGGTTCCTGTGCTTCACCTTCCCGAGAGACTCGGCCTCTTTCCTGAACGATCCCTCATCAATCACCACGGCACCATCAGAAGATGTGGACGGAAGCCGCAGAATTGCCAGCACGGTGCCATCACTGTAACAGGCCTTGAACACGAGGCCATGGCGGCCTCGGCTGAGCACATTCTCCTCGTCAAACTGCCGGGTTGCCTCAACCGTGTCAGCATAAGTGATCCTTGAATTGAACATAATCAGCTTCGGCTGGCTGACACCATTCTCCGTGCTTGTGCCACTCGACCCACTGCCACGTCCTGGGCTGCGTCTTCTCTTCTTGACACCATCACGGCTCTCAATGAACCGACGCCTCCATCGCAGCAAGCTAAACACACAGCAACAGCAGAACAGCGCAACGAGCAGCACCGCAGCACACACCACACCAATTAGCAGAGCCAGGCGCTGCACCCTCCGCCGCCTCCGCCGTCGCCAGTACTCGCTGCACTCACTCTCCAATGGCAGACCGCACAAGTCTGAGTTTGAAGCATATGCTGAAGCAGAGCCAAAGCGGGAACCGAGCATTGCCGGTATCTCACCAGAAAGCTCATTGTGTGACACGTTGAATGACAAAAGGCCAGGAATCTGAGCCAATGAAGCAGGGATGCTGCCGGTAAGATTGTTGGACGACAGGTCAAGCGTCTGCAGCTTTGAGAGGTTGGCAAGAGATGCTGGTATGTCTCCGCCAAAATGATTGTCATCAAGCTTGAGAAGGGTGAGTGATGAGCAATTGGAGATCTCTGCTGGTATCTTGCCTGAAAGCTGATTATAGCTGAGGTCAAGCTCCTCCAATTCACCTAGGCGTGAGAGGTCACTCGGTATGGAGCCGGTCAGCTGGTTGCCACTGAGCTCAAGCACAGTAAGGTTGGAACAATTGGCGAGCTCGGCTGGCAGCTCCCCAGAAATGTGGTTGTGTGAGGCCGAGAGCACTTGAAGTGATGGCAAGTACCCATATGTCGCCGGTATTGACCCAGTGAAAGAATTACCGGAGAGGTTCAGATTGCGCAGACTCCAAAGACTGCTGAATCCTTCAGGAACATCGCCAGAGAAGGAGTTGTCCGCGAATGACACATACTGCAGCTGCGGTAGGCCGAAAAGCTCTGCCGGGACATTGCCAGAGAGGTTCTTCTGACCAGAGAGATCAAGAACTCGCAGGTTCTGGAGGTTGCCAATGGTCGTTGGAATGTGGCCAGAAAAGGCATTGCAGCTCAAATTTAAACTCTGGAGAGCGAACAAATTACCGATGGCCGGAGGGATCTCTCCGGTGAGGTTGTTCCCAGATACGTCCAGGAACGTCAGGTTTCCCAGCTGGAAGAGCTCACCAGAGAGGCGACCAGTGAGTCTGTTCCTCGGTATGGAAAATGCCTCGAGCCACGACAGATTCCCCAAGCTCGCCGGAATCTGGCCGGAGAAACTGTTCCCACCAAGATAGACCTCCATGAGCCTCGGGAGACCGCCAAGAGCTGATGGCACCTCGCCGGTGAAGTGGTTGTCCTCGAGATCAAGCACCTGGAGTGCGCCGCATCTGCCAATCTCCGCAGGCACGGCGCCAGTGAAAGCATTGCCGCCGAGGCGCAGCTCCAGCAGCGCAGTGAGCTGCCCGACCGCTGGCGGCAACTCGCCTGTGAACTCATTGCCCGAGAGGTCGAGCAGCGTCAGCCCTCCCGCCCCAGCAAGCCAAGTCGGGAATGGACCAGCTAGCTTGTTGCCGCCCAGGTCCACCACCTGAAGATCCGCGGCGAGACCTCCCGGCACGTCGACCTGAGAGAACTCGTTGCCGCCGAGCTGCACGATGCGCAGGGACGAGTTCCCCAGAGCGCCGAACGCCGCGGCCGGGATGGTGCCGGTGAGCTGGTTCCGCGACACCGAGAGAATCTGCAGCGTGGGTATCGCGGCGACCGCAGACGGCAAGATGCCGCGGAGCGAGTTCCCTTGAAGGTTCAGGTGGAGCAGCGTCGAGCAGTTGGCCAGCGCCGCCGGGATGGTCCCCTCGAGGAGGTTCCCGTCCAGCCAGAGGTAATGCAGGTTCTGCAAGTTGCCCAGCGACGCCGGCACGGTACCCCGGAGTCGGTTGAAGGACAGGTTCAAGAACTGGAGGTTCGCCGTGGAGGCGCTAATGTTCGCCGGGATGGTTCCGGAGAACGCATTGGAGGAGAGGTCGAGGTACTTCAAGCTGGGAGGAAATGAGACGGGGACGGGGCCGGACAGGAGGTTGCCCGACACGTCGAAGGTGTCGAGGTTGGTGAGGTTGGCGAGGAAGGACTGGGGAATGGGGCCGGAGAGCGAGTTGGACTGGAGGAAGACGGCGTGCAGGGAGGTGACGCGGGCCAGCGACGCCGGGATGGCGCCGGAGAGGTCGTTGGACCGGAGGCTGAGCCGCTCGAGGTACGGCAGCGAGCCGAGCGCCGGAGAGATGGGGCCCGAGAGGCGGAGCCGCGGGAGCTGCAGCTCGACGACGCGCCCGCCGGCGCCGCCCTGCGCGCACGCGACGCCGCGCCAGGAGCAGGGCGCGGAGGGGGAGGCCGCGTCCCACCCGGCCATGGCGCCGTAGGGGTCGTGCAGGCCGCGGCGGAACGCGAGGAGCGCGTCGATCTCCGCCTGCACCCCGGTCGTCCTCGCCACCGGCGGCGCCGGCGCCGTCGCGGCCAGCGACGCGAGCGGCGCTAGCTCGAGCATGAGCAGCAGGAACAGCGACCGCGACGGCGGCATCGCGGGCGCCCGGGAGGAGGGGAGGGGGCAGAGAGCAGAGCCGCCCCTTTTTCTCACTGTCTTGTCAACTTTGGCGGCTGTGGCGCCTAGGTTCTCATGGAGATGGGGAGAGCGCGAGTGAGGATCGTGTTTGCGTTTGCAGCGCGGAGAACGGAGAGAGAGAGAGCCAGAAAAAGGAGGGGTTTGGTTGAGAGGTTTTGGACGGGTTTGGGTGGCGTTCGAGGCCGTTTTTCACTCCGGTGTGCGTTTTCTGTGCAGCGTTTGTTTGTTTTTTTCTCTCCCCCGGTCCGTCTCCGTCCCTCTCTCTCCTCATCAGGCTTTAACGTCGTTTGAGAGAGGAGAGAGAGTGTGCTAGTGCTAGGGGCCTGTTTAGATGGTGAAAAATTTTGTAAAATATATTGTAGCACTTTTTTCGTTGTTATTTGGTAATTAGTGTCCAATCATAGTCTAATTAGATTTAAAAGATTCGTCTCGTAAATTTCGTCTAAACTGTGTAATTAGTTTTATTTTTATTTATATTTAATGCTTCATGCATGCGTTTAAAGATTCAATATGACGAAGAATCTAAAAATTTGACAAAATTTTCTGGAACTAAATTGGACCTAGGTTAACGTTAAACTCGCTTTTAGTGCGCGGGACAGGCTGTCACCGTAAAGACCTTTTACTGGGGACGAACGCTGACGGGGGTCTGCCCGGCGAAAAGTCTGCGACGCCGTGAGCTGGGGCCGCTGTGTCTGGACCGCATCATACTGAGGCTACACGGATGGGTAAAGGGAGGGATTAGTTTAAAGTCTAGCTGGCGTTTAGGAGGTGCGCAGATGTTGACTGGGCTCGCCGTGCCACGTAGGCTGTGCTCCCTCGACACAGGCACTGCTCCATGCCTGCCTGCCCAATGTTGCCTTGCCGTCCATTGTTGTAATCCGTCGTCACCTACATGACAGGACGATGTTGAACAGTGCCTGTAAATCACTGTCCGGGACTTCTTTTGAACCAGAAGCTGGTCAATCTTGGAGATGGTCTGCTGGACGGCCCAACAGCCTGTTTGCTTGTTGTAAACGATCGTGTATTATAAGTCAGAATAGATTTTTTCTCATACCAAATCAGCCAGCAATAATAATCCATGATCGTTTCCGCCGAAACGAACATGCTGTAACCGCTGGCCGGAGACTGGATTCACCGGCCTTTACTGAACCTTTTGGTTTCACCTCAAAAAAGAGTGAAATGGCGGGCGATTTAACAGCACAACAGTTTTTAATCGAAAAAAGCACTAACACTCTTTTGATGCTGGTTTCCTCTTGTATCCTGATACAGATAGAGAAGAGATGTCAAAGTTTGAATCGTGCGAAGGCAAGAACGGGAGTATACACAGAAAATTGACTGAAATCGTACCTGGTATGATGCTTTAACTCAGAAGCCGTGCACAACACACCCTGAATCGTCCAGGCTTGTCACATACCCCGTATATCAATACAGCAATGAATTGCCACATGCCAAGCATCTGCGTCTGCGACGTCCGCCTCTGGCAGCACCATACTCCTGCGGTCTTCCACCCATTGCCAACTTCAGCTCTAGTCCTGGCGCAGTGGCGCTGAAGGTGGTTCCATTTAGATTTGGAGAGTTCATGCAACCACTAGGCCCAAATGCATACCTGTTTGGACAAGGCCGAACAAATTTGGTATATGTTCGGCTGTTACTCCCACTGGATCTGGAGCACACGAGCACAGCCGCGTTCGGCTGGTCTGGTGGCTTGTTTCAGCTTATCCCTCAACACTATTAAATTATCCAAAACCATCCGAAATTTACTGGACGAGGCACCAGCCTGACGGTGTCAAATCAGTCGCCTCCGTGCCTCAGCCTCAGGATTTGACCTTTTTTCGGGGGTTGCTTTTTTTCAGTGAGCAGCAGCAAATTGAGGCTGCGTTTAGTTCGTTAAATTTAGAAATTTAGTTACCGTAGTATTTTTAGTTTTTATATTTAACAATTAATGTTTAATTATGGACTAATTAGGCTCAAAACGTTCATCTCGTGATTTCCAACCAAACTGTGCAATTAGTTTTTTTTTCGTCTACATTTAATGCTCCATGCACATATCGTAAGATTCGATGTGATAGCTACTGTAGTACTTTTTGAGAACTCAACAGGGCCGGAATGGCGTGCTCTGCTTGCTGCATGAACTGCCGTCGTACGCTCCCAAATCTCCCAGCTGGACCCATCCGATTGCATCAGCCGAATCTGACTCCCAAAGTTATGAACGCACATGCGTAAGTTGGTGATACCATGCCGTGCAACTTGGCCTTAGTAATGCAGTGCTGCACGGGGGCAGTAGAATACGAGCGGCCTGTCTATCTGATTTTTTTTATGGTTAACGGGAGGGGAGGAGAGTTCCCCACCAATTCATTGCTTATGAGTGCAATACAGAAGCTTAACTGACTCCTAATCAGCACGTGGGGTGAAGGGGGATGAGATCGTCAGAAGCTTAACTGACTCCTAATCAGCACATGTGGCAGACCACACCGTAGGGCGGCAGGCAACGTCTTGCAAATCTGTCCTTTACTCTTTCTACCCGGGTCTTTGCAGAGAGATCGTGTACGTTGCCCACTATTGCTTCGGCGCTAAACAAATATAAAAGCACCCAAGTTGATTTCAAGACTTCATTTCGCTACCCTACGCAGTAGATTTCAGAATCACAACCTCGGACGTGATGGCCAAGTTGATTTTTTCCGCCCCCGAGGCAATGAACTCCTCCTAGTTCAACCAAGGTCAAAACGCATGGTGAATCTTGGGCTTCCAGGGTAAAAATTTCTTTTGCCAAGGCCTGTTGGTACCTGCCTCCACACCACACCGCACAGCACGGGCAGGACGCCTGACGAAACCAGACGATTTCCTGATCCGTGCTGCCACACACCAGTGGCACAGTGCTCCAATAATTCATCAAATCAAAGATCTGCCACTGCCACTGTTTCAGCTGACACTGGTCACAGCGGCACGAGCACCAGCAAAGCCGTGTCAGCTTTACTGCTCAATCGTCACTGTGCCGGCCTGCCGGGTGCTCGTGCTCCTCCCGTCGAGCCTGGGCGTGAGGGTTTCTGGCAATCTGGCCTCGGCGCTCGGCGCTCTGCAGACCAATCGGTAAAACCTGCCGCATGCCTGAATGGGGGCCTGTGGTTCTTGAAAGATGAACATGCCCTCCCCGCCCCCATGCGTTTTCTACCGCCTCCCCGGCGGCCCGGCCCCGGGGGCCGGGGCATACCATTACTGGTTTCCACCAGGCACCAGCCATTCTTCCATGGAGAAAGCGTCAGTGCCACAGCTGGGCACAGTATATCAAGTACTCTTAAGAAACGAGTTTGGGGGCACAGCAGCAGTGTTCTTCATTAGGTGACCAAGACTTACATCTTAAGAAACGAGTTTGGGGGCAGGCACACTTCAGAATTATTCCGCGGGATATTGCGGAATACCGCCACAGTTCTTGCAGAGTTTCTAGGAAATTCTAGTCTAGGCTTCAGATATACGTAAGAGCTAATTCGGGATCAATGATGGTGAGGTTTTGATGGAGGTCATGACTCATGATTGGAGAGCTAGTTCGCGACAGTGATAGTATAACAATTATTTAGTGAAAAAGACATACTCCTATACTATAATCCCTTTTGGAAGACAACAATAAATGTGAACCTGTGGACGGACATGCATGTTTGGCTGTTTGCACACGCTCACAGAACATAACAGAACTCACGACATCGGGACCTTGGGCTGGATCGGTCACACACCCTCCAGGTGGACGCCTTGCGTGCCCATTAATTTCTAAGCGCTGGCTAGCTTCCAGTTCGGAGCCGAAATGCAAATGGGCGGGAAAAAAATAAGACGACGAGAAGACAAAAGAAAGCCCTGGTCGCTTTCCTGAAAAGGAGAGGTTTTGGACGCATTTCGCATGTCATTTGGCGACCCATGGAGATGGCAGATGAAGACTAGCGCCCGTGTCATGGCCGGCCAAGACGTGGCTTATTCGCACATGTATAGCTATCACCTCTCGTATTCGTCATTCATCAAGCACTTCTATGGGTCAAATACTCAAATGTAAGCAGTTTTGGTTCGGTGAGGAACAAAAGGGGTTGTTAAGGTTTGTCTATACGAGCGGCACAAAAATTGTAATCGGGACTGCACTGCATACGGACAGTTTCGTCCATACGCATAGAAGTGCTCAAAATTCGTTTCTTCTTCCCGCCTCCCAAGGCACTAGTAAATGGGTATGTGATCGAGCCCTGGACGGCACATCCCGCTAAATTCGGCCAAACTAACCTGCTGAATCATCTGATTCCTTTATGCGCCTGTTCATGAAATTCAGGTGTCCGTCCACCATCTCCCACTGTCGTTATACGATTGCGTTCCAGCCATGAATTTCAGGTACCAACTCCCGGCAACGTCACACACTCACCAGGCTCCTGTATATAATAAAACTGTACAAGTGCACTAGGCTACGCAAACGAACAGGCACTAGAAGGTGGACGATAAAACGGTGCTGAACAGAGTTTCTTTTGAGTTCAATGTATGGTGCCCCGGCCCCCACCATCTGAAGCGAAAGGCAGGCTCTCATGGTGTCTGCCCGCCGGTGGATCGAGCCACCAGGCTAGTGGCCTATAGGCACACTCCATAATGACGTCCAGTTTCAGGGCGTCCCAGTCCCAGGCAAAAAAGAACCAGAATTATCCTAGGGACTGCACTAAACAAGACCTAAAGCGACTCCATACAGGTGGTATGGGCGAACACATGTCCCGGCGGGGAGGATTAGCCGGGCAAAGACAAGGAGCGTGTCCCCTCTCTCGCGGATCCGTGGATGTGCTTTCTAACCAAACGCCTTAGATTCCGGCCCAGGTGAGAAGCATGAGTGCTGTAGGTTGGTGGCAGTTTGCTCACTTTCATCAGAGAACCGGCTTCTTTTGGCGGTGCCAAAGGCGTAGCCTTTGCTTGATGCTTTTGTCATCATGCGCTACTTTAGTGGACAAAGACTTGATTACTGTGGTTCATGAGTGTCCTTAGATGTTAAAACGGGAATGGAAAAAGGGGCACAAAGTAGCTTGGTGAGTGGTGACATCATAGGACTTATTGCACTTGAGAGTCTTCAGACATCAACGTTTCTCTGGAGTTCTGCCTATAGGCGATGGGTTTAGGCCTCTCTTTGCAGAGGTGCCAGTGATTAATGCAAAGGTGTAGAAAGGATTTCTGTATGAACAAAGGGTGATCCTGATCGCAGGAGCCGCCAGTGATTTTGACTGCATTTGCCAACATATCTATCCAACAAGCAGTGTTAGCTTTTACTGTTATTTCCAATCTAAAGGCTTCTATGAAATCTGATATCTTTGATAGTCTGATGAATCATTGGCAACTCTTCAGTAACAAAAGCAGTAATACCAGCAAATTGTGATGATTCAATACAGAAGAAGTTTAGCAGAGAAGGCGCACCTGGGAACGGATGATCCAACTGAAGTATCTGGTCCATGATCATAAATTAGCTAGGTAGATTATCCTTTTGGCCTAATACCATTCCAGTTTCTCATTAATCATACCTATCACCATTCCCAGTAAGGATTTAGTCTGCTGTAAACAACAGAAACCTGAGAAAGCCTCAGAATTAGAAATTTGGGGTTGACATAATCAAAGATTCAAACACGCCGATTCAAATACAAGACCCACCACAGTACTTGCAGTAGGATTTCAAACAAGATGTAAAATGGAAGGCCTTCTTAGCAGAGATCAGAGTACCAGACATAACTTACCTAAGATTAAACAAGTATGTATCATTGATGACATGGAAGGCTGAGACAATGAAAGTATGATGAACAATAACACCATTTGTCTCACTATCAGCTAGATAGTCACTACTCCCTCCGTTCTAAATTGTAAGTCGTTCCGGCTTTTCTAGATACATGGATTTTACTATGTATCTAAACATAGTGTATATCTAGGTGCATAGCAAAAATTATGTATCTAGAAATACCAGAACGCCTTACAATTTGGAATGGAGTACTTGATAAGTCTTTGGTTCTGAAGTACTTTATTTTCAATGCTAAAAAGTGTTAATTAATACTACTGTACATCAAATATCTGTGTGTTATAATCTACATACACAAACATAACCTTATAAGTACATTCACAATGATTGGAACTACTTTAAGTTAAACATTGCAGCGCTTCAATTGGTACAGTCACATTTACATGAATATCTGTTGCATGTAGCAGATGAAAACAGACAACAAATGCTGTTGGCATTTCTGGACACGTCTAGCATACAAATGGAATGATTGCGTAGCGAGAACGAGGGTAATCTTCAAATTTCTGAAGATACCATTTATGTGTTTGTACCGCTGCAAAGGACAAGTTTGTTATCTGCACAAAATGACAAAAGTGAGTCCGTTCAGCCAGGTGCGGCGAAAGAGAATGAAAGGATCCATAATGACAGCTTGCTTGGATTCTGAACGCCAAATGTGAAAGAAGTCACAATGAAGCATACCACAAAAAGGTACAGGAACCACACTGAAATGTCTGATCCACCGCTAGCTATCAACATGCCAAAATATATTACCTATATACCAAAATAACAGCAATTGTTAATAACGTACTGATTTTGAACCCAAAAGTTCAGTGGCCTATATGAATTAGACAAAGATAAGCAAAATGTTCGACATCTACATCATTTAGATATTTGCCAATGGTGAAATAAATTGTGTTCCTAAGGTAACACTATATTTTTATCATCCTTAAGCCTTATACAGAATATGTACATTCTCCTCCTGAGATATATATAATGCAGAGGAAACTAGGTTGGCAAAATGGATAATCAGATGCATAAGGAGCTCAACTCTATTATAATTCTGGGAGCTTTGACAATTTGGGAACTCCATAACCGGTGTGTCTTTGCTGGGGCATCTCAAAATTTAGCTTGAGCAATATAGCTCGCTAAAGGAAGGGCGGGCCTGGTGCAAGTCTTACCGTGACCGGAAGGTCCCGGGTTCGAGTCGCGGTCTCCTCGCATTGCACAGGCGAGGGTAAGGCTTGCCACTAACACCCTTCCCCAGACACCGCATAGAGCGGGAGCTCTCTGCACTGGGTACGCCCTTTAATATAGCTCGCTAAAGAGACCTGCTGGACTGAAATTTGGCCGGGGCTAAAGGAATTTCCCACCTCCTTGCCCTTGCACTGGGTGGGGAACAGTAGCAGGCTTAGGCTAGGTCAGGTTGTTTTGTCTTTTGTCATCGACGATCTGTGTAACCTTGTGAAGTGAAGTGAACTTGTTTTGGTGTGTTTGTGTAAGGGTTCTCGTCCCTCCTTTTCTTCTTAATACAAAGAAATGCAGTTCTCCTGCGTTTTCGAGAAAAAATAAGTTGGCAAAATGGGGGGCAGAGCATATTTGATGAGAAGTCTCATTACATCACATAGAGCTTCAGTGTAAACATTAAAAGAAATCTGGCATAAGGGAAGCATGAAAATTCCCTGTTTGTTAGCACCCTCATCCACCAATAGTAAACCCATCCCAATATCCCAGGCTCCAAGACCCTAAAATTACAGAAAATGGAAACTTTATTTCGTTGGTAGTCTACATTCACTTGACATCTTTTATAGCACTTTAGTGGGATCTTCCATATTCATCAGTATCTGCAACATCCTGGATATTAATTAAGACTGGAAGAGAGTAGGAACTCACTAGTTCAGCAAGGTAATGAGGGCAAGACACACGGCTAAACCAGTCACCGCATGGAATTACATATTCATCAGAATCTTTGTGTTCACGCAATGATCCCTGCCAAAGCAGAAAACAAAAACAATGAAATGCAAAAGCATAAAATAACTCTGTAAAAGTGTCTCCTAGAAGTTTGCCAGGAAAAATGCATATCAAACAACCATCGTCTTCATACTAACCGAAAACAATTGTTGTTTGCAGTTTCAAACATGGGTATATTCTACACATACCAACTGCTGTTGTATGTTGTTCACATTTGCAACAAACAAATAACTAGTAGAATGACAGAAGTGGATACATACAAGAATTGCATGGCAGTGGATCTGATGGAGTGAGCCCCAGATGAAAATAACAGCACCAATCCACTGGCACCACCCCAACTTTAGAAGAGGTTTCAAGAGATGTGATGGGTCAATTGCTAGATCTGGCATTCTTGCTCGACCCTTCACTATGAACTCAGCTATTTGATATCGAAGATATTGTATTGCTTCAGGAAGACAAGAACTAGCAAGTGATAAAGGTGCAGCCACATAGTAGCTGGCAGGAAAAAAAATGAACAAAGCGTCATCCCAAAAGGCTAATACAATGAAAGAAAGGGCCAGTGCAATGATACTTGTCCAAATAAATTCTTATATAAACATGCGATGGTTTGTGTAAACCTCTAGGTAATAGACCATTACAACAAAGGTCAATAACTTCAAGTATTGCTTAAAAGAAAGCCAGGCATAAATCTTGACCCTTAGGAGCTGAAATTAGCAGCTTATTTTCTGTGCCACATAATCATGACAGGTCAAGGATAATTCATCTGCTAAAGCATTTTCTTGCTGATTAATCCAATGTATTTTCATGTTATGTGGATAAGATGTGCACAAGCTATCACAATGCAGAAAAAGAACTTCCATATAGGACCTTTTAGCACAGGCATGTGAATTATGACAAAGCATGAAGGGGAGAAAATGAGGGAATATATATACGAGTTGGCATGCCTTACATTACTTGATATAACTCAAGAAAATGGAGGAAGTCAAATGAAAAGGCACTGTGGAACTTACATAATACCCGTTAGATATCCTATGATGTGCATTCGAGCTGAAGGGCTGTAGTGGAAGACATGTTCAGTCTCATATAGGCGTCTCAGGACCTGAATTTCCATCAATATCAGAACAAATACAGTACGCCAGACACGATACTTGTGTTCCATGGGGCGTGACGACCAGAAATTTGCCAAAGAGAATGAATTTGAACCACCAACAAGATGGCTAGCAATTGTGGAGTAACTCGATGGTTCTGGCATCAAAGGTGTCATTTTCATGTATGCATAGAACCATATTGCAAGTAGCAAGCTAGTCGTCACAACCACACCCACCACGTAAAAATGCAAGAAGAATTTTTGTGGAACGGTGAACCTCTGCACTTTTAGAGAAGAATTATAAGTGAGTTTCTGAGAGCTTAAAATAAACTACAAAACAGGAAATTGATACATAGCCAGTTAATTGTTGCTGTTGATAGTACACAGTCTCAGTTTTTGTTTTCATGGGACTCATTTGGCATGTGGTTTGTATATTGTCAAATTATTGTAACTAAACCTCGAAATTGATATAGCTAGTTAACAGGCTAATAACCATGTTTTTGGAAACCCAGGTCTCAAGAAACTTTTCAAAACTAAACTACATTAGGACAAATTTTACTTACATTTTGTATCCTTGGATTAATCATGGAATATATTTTCATAATATACCAATTTTGAGTCATAAATATTAATAATATTTTCTATAAACTTAGTCAAACATAAAGAAGTTTGTTCCATCCAAATCCATAATTGCATCCTTTTTGGGACGGAGGTAGTATCTATCAGGAGCTCAGTAATTTACAAGCCAACATCGCATTAAAGTAATCACAAGCTCAAAATTCTATCAGATTTTCTCTAGTATCCTGCAAGAAAGCAGTTATCCAGTAACCAGGAACATATGTACAGGTTTATGGCACCACCTCTAACAAAAAGTGTGTGAGCTCCAGTGATTACTGACTACTCAAAAACTTCTTATTCCTCCCCTCTTCCAACACCATGGAAACCGTTCCACAGCTATGTAAAGTTCATAGGAACCTTATTTGTAGATAAGGCAAAATATCATTTACCCTCTCTGTTATATGTCATTTTTGCTATGTCCTAATTTAAACTTCTCCAAGTTTGCTCAAGTTTATAGAAAAATGCATGGACATCTATAACATGAAATTAATTTCATTAAATCCACTATGAAATATATCTTTTTTTGAGAAAGACTACGTCTATGAAATATATCTTGGTAAAGCATTCATTTAATATCCTAGATGTAGGATAAAGCTAGAGGAAACTATAATTTGGAACCGAGGGAGTAGATTTCAAACTCATCCGTAATTCAGCTTGGACAAGAGAATAGCAGAGTTGACACAAGCACCGTTTAGACCCTACACGCTTCTACGTTACTAGAGCAATTCATAACCAACAGAAAATCAGTATGAACATACGGGGCCACGCATCAACTGTTTGTTTAGACCCTGCACGCTTTATGTTGCCAAAACAATTCATAACCAACAGAAAATCAGTATGAACATATGGGGCCAAGCAACAACAACTTGTTGCAACTTGCAAGCCAGCACCAATCTTACCGCCTTGGACGAGGACGAGGACGAGGACGAGGGCCTGACTGTCTTCCCGCGGGACGAGAAGGCGCAGAGCAGGCCGTGGATGAAACGGCCGCCGGCGGCCCTGGGGATCGGCAGCGCGGCGGCGGCGATGGGGAGGGTGGCCGCGACCCAGGCGAGGCACAGGAGGTACTGGAGCGCGGGCCCGCTTCCCGTATCCATTTGAACGCCGCCGCGCAGAGCGATGGCAAGGACTACTGCGCGCGGGGTGGCGGCGCGGCGGAGGCAGGGACCGGCGCGGCCGTCGGGCGTTCGGGTTGGTGCTTGGAGTGTGAAGGAGGGAAGCGAATCTGGAGGAAGGCACGCGATTTTGGTGCGTTTGCTTCGCGTGGCGGGGAGGTTTTAGATTGGTTCCTTCTGGAAGCGGGCCGACAACTGATTAGTTGAGTGCCCTAATCTAAGAGGTTAATGTCAGGTTTGAAATTGCCATTCGATGCTTGACCCATCATCCATCACCTGACTTTGGGATTTTTAACTTTTTGCCATCGTTACCGATGCCAATCCTCCATCTTTATACGTGTACTTACACATTTATCATCGCAAACAGTAACGTTCCTATGTTTTTATCATTTTTGCTGAGCTGCCACGCCAGATGAGCACGCCAGGGTGGCAGGGAGCCTGGGAAGGCCTACAAAGCATGTGAAATGACCTATGTACCTCTGCTACTTCTCTCCCTCCAATCGCTAACACGTGGGTTCCACATGTCAGCTTCGTCTTCAACCTCCCGCCATCACCCGCTCAGCATCGGCGGCGGCACGTACAATGCCATCCCGTCCTCGACGGCGGCCCCGCCGGGCACCGCGCAGCTGGCCACGTCCGTCTCCATCATCAGGCGGCGCCCCGCGATGCCGGGGGGCATGCCAGCAGGGACGCCCGCCAGCGACCTCGCCCAGAGCATGTACGTGAACCGCGAGCTGGCCTCGGCGGTGGCGCTCGTCCTGACGCACGACACTGAGACGACGGGCACACGGACAGCGCAAACAGGCTGCGCTCGTCGCCCTCCACGACCAGGAGGCGGTGGTGCTGCTGCTGCGGCTGCGGCTCCGACGATGCCGGCGCCGAGACCGGGACGCAGAGCGGGAGCGCCTTCCTGTAGGCCGGGAGCGTGTCCAGGGGCCAGGCGTGGTCGACAGCGAGGTGGTCGCGGAGCCTCGGCGGGGTGGCGGTGAAGGGGCACCCAGGCACCGCGAGTGCAGGGCATGTAGGCGCACGCGTCCTGGTGCGCGGCGGTCGCGTGGTACGCCACAGAGGCGCCGCAGCCGTAGGACTTGAACAGGCACGACACCCTGGCGTCACCGACGAACAGGTCCAGCTCTGGCCCGCGGTGCGCGAAGGCAGTGGCGCAGTCACACTTTGCAGCAGTGGCCCCTGTCAAGGCAGGCGCCACACAGCAGGTGTCCCGCCTTGCACTGCAGCCAGAAGGACGAAGACAAATCCGTCAATCTATGGTGCAAAGGAATAAAATAAGGGCGACCGGGACTGCACGAGTTCCCCTTCCCTCTCTGCGTGGTGATGGTGGGAGGTTTAAGATGAAGCTGACATGTAGGGCCCACATGTCAGCGATTGGAGAGAGAGAAGCAGCAGGGGTACATAGGTCATTTCGCATGCTTTTTAGGCCTTCACAGGCTCCCTGCCACGCTGGCGTGCCCATCTGGCATGCCATCTCAGCAAAAATGGTAAAAACGTAGGAGGGTTATCGTTTGCGATGACAAATGTGTAGAGACGCGCATAAAGATAACAAACGGAGGAGTGTCATCCGTAAGGATGGCAAAAAGTTAAAAATCCGCCTAACTTTTCATCACGCACCGAGGAAGTGAAGACTAGAGAGGACATAGGAGCGACGAGAAACAGAGGGGCCGGAAGCATGCGGCATCCCACATCCGCGACAGCGCCGCATCTGTGCCAATGCTAAGAGCAACTCCACCACGGCGCCTATCGAAGCACCCACAGCTAAATATAATGCTTAGGTAAAAACGCAGCTCCAGCACAGCCCTCGCTACATCCCCTAATTTGGAGTACACACAAATCTCTCCCACTGACCCGATTCCTGTTGGCCTAAAAGGCCAGCCCCCATCCGCGCTGACGCTCCTCCTTCCCTCCCTCCACGTGCGCGCTCTACTCCTACTCTCCCTCCGGCGGCTCCCTCCGACGAGCGTCGCGGCAGCGAGCACCGGCGACGCGGCTTCTTCTCCTCCCTCCCCGACGCGGCCAGATCCGAAGCAGCTCCCTCCCATGTCTGCTGTGGCCCCTGCTCGCGGCCCCCTTCGTCGCGTGGCCCCTGCTAGCTTCTTCTCCGGCTGCGGCTGCTGCTAGCTTCTCCTCCACTGCAGTCGCTTGGGCGCGGGTGTGGTGCTCCGTCGCTGCCGCCGCGTGGGCGTGGGCGCTGCTCCAGCGCCAGCGCAGACGCCCGTCCCCGCCGCCGCCACACGGGCGTGGCCGTTCGTCCTTGCCGGTGCCGCACGAACACGGTCGTCCGCACCTACTCGCGTGTCCCGGGCACTGCCGTACGGGCGCGGCCGTCCGCCCCGGCCTCTGCTCGCCCCGTAGCTGTGTTTGTTCTCAATGACATATCGGTCCCACGTGTAAGTGTTTGTTTCGATGCTTTTGCGAGCTCTGATTTAGGGGCTTGTGCTAGAGCAATTATAGGGGCCAACAAAAGAAGTGAAGAGCACCCAAATCAGAAGTAGGGGCCTTGATTTGGGGCTTTGCTGAAGTTGCTCTAATGCCTAAGGGTTGACGACTAATGTAGGAGGGGAACGAGAACGAGACCAGAGATATTGCTAGGCCTAGATCCTTGTTGATTCACCTTAATACACATGATGATGTGGGTTGGAGTGAAACTTAGTTTAAGTTACACTCCAATCAATCTAACACATGTGGATTGACATCGATCCAACTACATCAAACAAAGCCTTAGGAATGGATGAGTGGTTGGCCAGTGTGAGCGTGAGGATCAATTTTTTTTCACGAGTATAGAGAACGAGCGGATGACGGCTATTGGGCCTCTGTTAGTCTGTTATCCTTGTGTTTGTACTGAGCTCGTTAAGCTTGTGAGAAGCTTACGAGCCAACTCGAGTTAGCTCGTTATGCTAACGAGCTGAAACACTGGCTCGGCTCGTTAGAAAACACAACGAGCCGAGCCAAGCTAGCTACGAATCGAGCGAGCTAACGAGTCACAAGTTTCTCGTCCAGCCCTCATTAGGGTTCACGGATTAATATGTAGTAGTAAATTAGGAGTTCAATGAAAACACTACGCAATCCGACTGGTGTTTTGGCCTTGTTTAGATTGCAATTTTTTGCAATCTGGACACTGTAGCACGTTTCGTTTGTATTTGACAAACTTTGTCCGATCATGGACTAATTAGGCTCAAAAGATCCGTCTCGTGATTTACAACCAAACTGTGTAATTAGTTATTTTTTTTACCTACATTTAATGCTCCATACATACGTCCAAAAATTGATGTGATGGAAAGAGAGTGAAAAAACTTGGAATTTGAAGGCAATCTAGACGAATCACTGCACGTGTGAGAGTGAACAGAAGTGGGTGCAATCTAGACGAATGCAGCTCGATCACGTCGTTTAACCTAGCCTCATCCGAGAATAGGTAGTCATCCAAAAATGTGCATAATTGAGGTTGGATACACGATAATGATGGAGACCACCCTAGCATTGATGTGTCACGGTTGAGTTAAGATACAGACAGATCTTACGAAAAGGAATTTGGATACGGACACATATATGGATGCTAAGGGGATGTTTGATCCTGAGCTAAAGTTTAACTTTAGTCATATCGAATATTCAGATGTTAATTAGGAGAATTAAACATAAACTAACTATAAAACTAATTATAGAAGCTCTGGACTAATTCGCGAGATGGATCTATTAAGCCTAATTAATTCATCGTTGGCAAATATTTACTATAGTACCATATTGTCAAATAATAAACTAATTAGGCTTAATAGATTCGTCTTGCGGATTAACCTCTATATGTGTAATTAGTTTTGTAATTAATCTATATTTAATATTCTTAATTAGCATTCAAACATCCGATTTAACGGGACTAAATTTTAGCCTGCCAATATTCAAATGGAGCCTAACAGTCTCGCTTGCGGTTCTCTATTTCTAGGAGAGCAAGTGTGGTGGTGGCTAAGTGGTACTGTCAGCAGGTAAGTTAGTTGATGAGCAGCTGGCGTGGTTTCTTGCGTCTGTCATGCGCCTAAGCCATGACTGAAAGTATTGTTGGCTAGTTTAATGTAAGAGAAAAATATTATTCGTTGGCTTATAAGCCAAATACGACCACGTGAACAGGCTAATGATTAGGATAATCGCTGGTACAGTGGGATGTTTGGCGCGGTTGTCTCTGATTTCTCATAATCGGCTGTTGTGGAACACTGCTTGATACTCTCTCCATTTCAAATTATAAGTCGCTTTGATGTTTTTGATACATCTATTTTACTATGTATCTAAATAAATAATATGTCTATATACATATAAGGTAAAATGAATGAACTAAAAAAGTCAAAGCGATTTATAATTTAGAACAGAAGAAGTACTATTTAAGAGATTGCTAATTAAGGTACATTTAGTTGTAGTTGTACGTCTCAATTCTAATAAAAACGAAATTGACCAGCAAGCCGAGTGTGACACTGCGCTTGCCACCGAAAGAATGGAGATGCTACCGGAACTAGAAGTAACTCCGCATTTACGTATGAACATTTTGTTTGGTGAGGAAAAGGGGATCATACTTTCATAGTGAATGCTAGCAACTGAACCAAAAGTATTCTAAAGAAAAAGTACTTAAAAATCCCGTTGCTACTAGGCCGTGCCAATCCCTGACGCCAGGAAAACCCTCGACGGTATTCTCTTCGAGGGACGTTTGTAAGGATGGCAGGGGGTTCACCAAAAAAAAAAGTTTGTGTCCACGGACACACACCTAGAGATGCAATGGATACCTGTGATCCGAAACCCGATATGTTTTTATCCCATTAAAATATAAGTGTGGACTGATTCACATATCCATGGGTATGTTTGGCCTTGTTTAGATTGTAAATTTTTGTAATCTGGATACTGTAGCACGTTTCGTTTGTATTTGACAAACTTTATCCGATCATGGACTAACTAGACTCAAAAGATTCATCTCGTGATTTACAACCAAACTGTGC